TCTGCAGTCTGAAGGCACAGATCTTATAATGTGCTTGTGAATTGTTATAGAATCTTGACTCTCTTTTCACTGCTTTGACATCTTTATGTAGGTCAATTCAGGGTCCAAGAATCAGGCTGTTGTCATGCCTGATGCATGCATGGATGCTACGCTTGATGCTCTGGTTTCTTCTGGATTTGTTGCTGCAGGAGATCCCCACATGTCACTCAGCTCAGTGATTTTTGTTGGAAATGCTACACCATGGTTTTGCAACATTAACATTTTGTTTCATTTATCTTTGTCCATAGCATATATGGTATATCTAGTGAGGCCAATGGCATTACATTTTTGAGCCAAAACATGACAACTGATGCAGGGTTTGCTGGAACTTTCAGGGAGAAAGAACTTGTCAAACGTGCTAAAACCCTATCAGTAGCTGGAGGAGCAGATGCAGGAGCAGATGTTGGTCCAGTGCTCAGCAAGGAGTTACGAACAAGTACATGTTGATATTTGACTTCTACTATATAAGTTGATATTTGACTTCTACTATATAAGTTGATATTTGACATAGTTTATCAACTTGTCTTTTATTTGGTGTTTAAACTAACTATTCTGATGTCTAGAAATTTTATTGTAAGATATATTTACAACATTTCACTTGTATTAATTTTTTATTCTTTTCTCCTGTCACCGCTGTCAGACTAATGTGCTTGTGAAATGTTGCAGGTGAAGGATGGAATATGTAGATCAGTACAAACTTCAGTTGAAAGTGGTGCTAGACTTATCCTTGATGGAAGGGACATCATGGTACTGTCCCTGTATTGTTTTAGGCTATTAATATTCTAGCTTGCATCTTCATCTTTGAAACATAAAGTTCTGTTGTGTAAATAAATGTATTAAGTATTTCAAGGCAGGCTCTACCGTAATAAGTCTCATGTTGATAAGTATTGGCTACTTAAAGTCGAAAACAAATTATGTGTTGTTTGGACTTCAAATGGATTTGGGAAGTCGCTTTAATGGATGATATTATCAAATCAGGTAAAACAACAACCTTTTCTGCCACAATCACTCTATTCTTTCCCACAACCCTTAACCTTGGAAGTTGGAATAACAACAATGAAGAAGATGGAGTAGGGAAAATATGCATATGCTGGCATGAATTTGTTGTGGATGCTGAAGTGATGTATACTTTATGGTCTTGATACCTTTCATTTGAATCTGCATATATTCTACTTCAAAAGAATTTTGGATTTTTAGGGAATAGGGACATTATTTGTGAATTCCTTCCTGAGTAATTTAAGACTTGGCTGCATGAAAAGATGTTTGCATAGCCTCTATATTCATTATTCAAGCTACTCTCTCCATGATCTTAATTTTACTTTCTAGAATAACTCTCTCTTTCTTTCTTGCCCCCCTTTTCTCCCCGTGGTGTAGTGCTTTCATTTACCCTCATAAAGCTTGATCACATAAATGCCAATATTTATTCTCATTATCGGAGGGTCGGCGACTCGGCTCTAAGACTTTTCAAAGTATTAGTAAAATATTATCTGCTTTCATATACTAGATATGAATACAATGAAATCTCAATCTGTAGCTGTGTGCTTATCTTTGACTAGGTTATGAGGGGGGATAGGTTGGTGTTGTACATGTACTGCTCTGAAGCATGCTGCAGTGAACACTGTTGATTTTATTTTATCGTGAAACAACTACAATATTTATTCTACCTCATATCTTTCCCTTTTTGTGCTCCATTTCCATTTGACGACCAGTGTTTGAAAATGCGCACCTAGGCGCTGAGGTGCAAGGCGTTAGGGATCATCGCTTTTTGTGGTCAAGGCGAGGCGATTTTGATGAAGCGCAGCTTAAGGCGCACAAAGTTTTTTTTTTCAAATTTTTTTCTATTGTTTATTATATGCGCCTCACTTCAATGAGGCGCACCTTAGGCACAAGGAACTCTGAAACGCCTTGGTGTGCCTTGAGCCTTTTTATACATTGTCGGTGACTGGGCTCATTGTTGATTCCTGAAGCCGTACCATATTGATGAGTGTCAATTTAAGTTGAGAGAATATGCTGCTTATATCTTCAGTGTACAATTGCTTTTAATTAGTCACATGCTTACATCTAACTGTTGCTAATCTTTATCTGGATCAGACTGTATAGTGTATACTTTCTGAAGAATTGTGAATTTTGGGTTGTTCCCAGGTTCCAGGATATGAGGGTGGGAATTTTGTTGGCCCAACTATCTTGAGTGACGTCACATCTAGTATGGAGTGTTTTAAGGTGCCTCTATCGTTGCACCCTCCTCTATGCTAATTGTGCTAAATTAAGGATTGCTATTTCGATTTTCATACATATAATAGTATTCAATTTTTTGTTAACCAGGAAGATATTTTTGGACCAGTATTGCTATGTACACAGGTGACATTTGGTGACTTAAAAATCTTTTCTTCTCCCTAAATTTTTCAACCTGCTACGGAGTAATAATGGTGTTACCTTTTCTTTGTGACATTTCAAATTTGTTTGAATGCAGGTCCACAGTTTAGAAGATGCCATAGCCATCATCAACCAGCACAAGTACTTCTCAACTCTCTTCTGCATTATCAGCTTTTATTGAAGTTTGGGTTTTCCAGTTTAGTTTCACTATTTGGGTTTTCCAGCTTTTATTGAAGGTGGTTTGCTTTATGTCTGGATTTATATTTGATACCTAGTAATTCAAATTAGTTATCCGATGATTACATCTTGATGGAGCTCTGAGGCAGTATATTAGACTTTTAATGATTTAGCTCAGTATATAGTTAAACCTCTTCATCCAAAGTATTTTTTTGCTCGTTTAGGTTTGGCAATGGAGCATCTATTTTTACTACATCTGGTATTGCAGCAAGGAAGTTTCAGAATAAGGTTGAAGTAGGGTTGGTAAGCTCCTTGTCTTAAACCAAAATCGGCCTGCTTAATGTTTCTGTTCCTTGGACATTGCCAAATTTTACCTTCTAAAATGCTCTGTGATTGGCTCAGATTGGGATCAATGTTCCTGTTCCGTTTCCATTGACAAATTCTTCGGCTGGATCAACAGAATCCTTTGCAGGCAATATCAATTTCCATGGTCTCTATCTCTGTCTTTTTTCGTTAACCCTCTCCCCCTTTAATACTTACACCACACTCTTCTACCCCCATCCCTTACACCTGATGTGAATGCACTAGTGTATACACACTAAGGTTGTGTTTGGGTCATAGTTAACATTTTAAACTGAAATTTATCTTCAATGTAAATTTTGGTTTCAAAGTACATTTCCTTTGTTTGGTTTCTCATGTAAAATTAGCGGAAAAAGGAAAAAAGAGAAATAGAGGGGAGAGGATGGAAGGGAGAAGAGAAAGGTGAGGATATGGAGGAATATATTGTAATCCTTACACGAGCAAAATATTTTCAACTACTGAAATAAACAACGTAATAATATTACTTCTCACCCCTTAAAAAACCAAAGGAAAATAATAAAAAAAAAAAACTAGTTCTTGACTGTAAAATGACTTTCTGCCAAGAGAGGGTGTGGCTATTTGTGTGTAGTATTTAAATCTGTGCTTTTGTATGTTATTCTCTTTAGACTGCGCTCGGACTACATTAACTGATGCATTTTTGTTTTTTGTTCAACATTAATTAAAAAATGTAGGGAAAGCAGGTATTCATTTCTATACACAGATTAAAATAGTTGCACAACAATGGAGGGACCTAACCTCCAAAGGAATCTTATCAAGCAAAACCTTGACATCTGAGGGGGAGGCATCAAATCAAGCTCTTCCCGTGACCGTGTCTTCATCATCTGATACTGATTCTTTCAGCCATGAATACTCGGATTCAGTCCCAAAATCATCACGAGAAGAAATGACATATCTGAAAAGGCCAGTAAATGGACTTTCCATTGAAAATGACCTGTCCTGCACTGCAACATCGTTGTCATTTGCTAGCACATCTGGAATGAATCTACGTCAAACATCTACATTCACTGAGGTGTATCCCTCCACAACTCAGGGCCTTGACAATTTTGCCATGGATTTAAATGCAGAGAGAGGAAATTTATCAATGGAGTCTTACGGGAATAATCTAGACCCGCAGCTGGTTGTTACTTCTGAGAGTAGTTACATGTCGATGGTATCGCATGAGATGGGACTTATTTATCAATCTGAAAGAGCTTATACAGTTGCACCTACAATTTCTGAGCAAATGTCTTTACCTACAACGAGTGTGAAGATTGAACCAACTCCGAGGTTGTCACATATGCCTGCAATGCCCCAAAGGGCTTGTGATCTGAACCCTATGGTTGGGGATACAAGTCATGAGACTCATGACCAAGCACCATCATCGGTATTACCTACAATAGAGAGTGTGATGATTGAACCAGCAGATCAGAGGTTGTCATATATGCCTACAATGTCCCAAAGGGCTTGTGATCTAAACCCCATGGTTGGGGATACTAGTCATGACCAAGCCCCATCATTGGTATTGCCCACTTCTGAAAGAACAAACTTTTAGCCTTGGGCATTCAGCTCCATAGATTGTGTAGAACAGGTGACATGACAGGCTGTCATCAGATTTTAATGTTGATTTCTTAACCTAGTTATTCACAGAAATTGAACATTCTTCTTGGGTGAAAGGGAGGGGACTGAGCATTGGTAACAGTTATTAAACGCTGCTTATCATGTTGCCATCTCCCAGAGTCCCAGTCTCCCACCATTGCTGTCTAAACACACCATAATTGTATGTCATATCACCTTGTTTTGATTTGAGTAATGGTACCACTCTTAAATTGTTCATTTAGCTCTAAAGTAGTAACCTAAACCAATCAGAGTCATAGGTTTTTTTTATCTTAGAAGACAACACGTGAGATATGAACAATTGAACATATATGATCATTTACTCATTTTATCATTGAAACATTTTTCTATGAACCAAATATATCAATCTCTATATATACCAACAAGTTAAGTTCGGCCATTTTTGTATTGATTCCGTTAAAGCAAATGGTGTTCAATTTTCCATTGGTATTAAAGAGTAGCTTATATTTCGCCACACCATGTCATCCTGGAGGGGATGCACAATAATCATTGTATATACGCCTCTACAATTTTATTCGCATCACGAAAGTGTTGTTAGAAAAGTTAGAAACTGAATGACTAAAACAGTTTATTCTCCTGGAGAAAGAGAGAAAAAAGTCAGAATTTAGTGATTTGAAAAGATGCAATGCACAAGCTCACACTGGTATTCCACTTCATACAAACTTCAAGGAGCAAAAGTAGCCCCTACTATAAAAACATCAAATTACCAAACAAGAAAACAGAGAATAGAATCTTGTCATAATCTTAAAAATGGCAGCAATTGCTTACTCACTGAGTCAACTCGTTCACCGCCAACTGCAAAATCAATCACCAGCACTTCAAACCCATTTGTGAAGCATTGCGTAAAGCTCCGTCAGAGTTCTTCTTATCGTCACTCTCATGGTTCTGTGCTTGTCGTTGGCACTACCCTTATCAGGTCAGTTTTCTTCAATCAATTTTCAATTTTCTCTGTTTTTTAGGGTTGTAATTTTGTGTAAGTCATGTTTTTTTTCTGGGTTTGATTGAATTTGACCTGGAATTTGCAAGTTTTGAAATGGGTACTTATAATTTTGTTCAATTTGTTCCTATTATGAACTGAATTTTAAATTTTACTAAGTTTGGTATAATTGTTGTTTAATTGAATTTGACCTGAATTTGCAAGCTTTGAAATGGGTAATTCTAATTTTATTCAATTTGTTCTTAATATGAATGATAAATGCAGTAATTTGTTCAAATTAGGCCAATTTAGTGTCCTGAATTTTTGTGGGAATTTTGCAAACTTTTTGTACACAGAGAAATTCATGAGTTTCATGAGTTGAGACAAGAGCAAAAAATGGCAGTAGAATGTCTATTTGTGCTTGATAAAGCTGAGATTCCTAAAGGATTATGTGATATTCCAGGAGAGAGAGTGTATGTGAGCTCTTTGGTGATGAAAAAGCTTTCTGGGGTTCAGTCAACTGAATCAATTGAAGTTATAGCTCTCATGAAGATGCCTAATTATTTTATGGATTTGAGTGATAATCGTCTCGAGGTGGATTGTACAAGGTGGTTTCGTTGTGCCGATACTCATCGAATTCTAGTCCTTGAAGGGATACAGGTTTTGCTTTGGTGCTTGCTCTCTGAGTTTGTTTACTAGGGAATCTTTTTGTTGCACTTGGAGTCTTTGAAATATCTACATCCTCCTTTAATAAATGTGTTAAATTCCACCTCATTTTCCTGTCCTGGTTAAGTCATTAGATAATCATTATTATCTGCTAGAATCATTCATCAGGAGTTAAATTGTCTTTTAAGTTTCAAAACGGTCATATATCAAAATGAATTACTCAATAACTGGGATTTTGGTGAGCCTGTTGATATATCTATATGGTGTAAAATGAATTCTTTGTGCATGAATAATTTTTATTGTTTCTTGATGTGCATATGGTATAGGTCTGAGAGTAACTACTGTCAACCCTGTTTCAAGAATCGCAATAATGGATTGAGATTTCACAGTGTTTTTGTTTTCTTTCTCTAAATTCTGCCATTTCAAATTGATCTTTATATGATCTGCCTTAGGAAATCACTATATGATCTTTATATTAGTGTGTTTGGTTGGCTTGGTGTGTATCCTTAAGTTTTCTTGCATGGTGCCTTTTTTAGGTATTACCATTCAATCTATCAAGTACAATGTGCAGTTTTCTCTGTCTGATTAGTGACTACGTAATAATCTTCTTTTGTAACTTGATGGTTGACACAGGATCCAGGGAACCTTGGTACACTGCTTAGATCGGCCCTGGCGTTCAAATGGGTAAGTGACTTTGCATCCTCTTGTGCTTCTAGCTTTAGATCTTATTTGTGGGGTTGCCAAAGGTTTAAATGTTGTAAAGAGAAATTGTGAATATTTCACAGTGCATGTCATTAGCAATGTCCATTTCACACTTTATAGATGTATCATGTAGCTGGTCATGAATAGTTTTTTAATTCGTCATGCCAAAGGAATGAAATTGAAAAACCAACCTGCTTTTATCATTTTAAGACTTCCAATTTACCTGAACTTTTGTGCAATAATCAGATTCTTATTCTTTGATTAGATCATAAATGTACGACTGAAATCTTTAAAAAAAATCTTTGTACTCTTTCTTTGATTAAATACTAGTAGGAAAAAAGGAACTACAGCATTAACTTATAGAAGAACATATGTAAACACTTGTATTCATGTTCAACAGAATGGTGTTTTTCTGCTTCCTGGATGCTGTGATCCTTTCAATGAGAAGGCACTCAGGGTTAGCAGAGGTGCGCCATTTCAGATTCCCCTAGTTTCGGGAAATTGGGCACATCTTGAAGCTTTTAGCAATGAAGTTCAAGTGAAGATGTTTGCTGGTCACCCTGCTATTAGCAACGGATTCAAGCCTGTTCATAAGTTGTCCCAAAGGCTTGCACATTCTCTGGCTGATACGCCATTATGTTTACTTCTAGGCAGTGAGGGTACCGGTCTTACGGAGAGAGCAAGGGAATTCTGTGAACTGGTAAGCATACCAATGGCTGATAATTTTGAGTCTCTTAATGTTGCAGTGGCAGGTGGAATATTAATGTTTATGCTACAATCTGAGTTAGAGGACGCCCAGACTTGATTTCAGATGCAAGTCTCTAGTAGACCGGTGCCTTAGTTCCACATGCGCAGCTTAAAGTAAATGATAGAGAGAAGGTAGAAATGAGTAAACTATATTGTAAAGTTTTCTTTTTTGTAAAATCATACTTCGTATTATATACTTTATTTTTTTTTGTAAAATTATACTTCGTATTATATACTTTAGGGTTTCTAATTAGAGATTATTACGTAGTATATGTTGAATGTAATTGATCCATGAGTTAAACAACATAAATAGTTTCATAGATTGATTTGCCATGGTCTTTGGTATACCAAGATGCTCTATTGCTCTCCATTATAGGGGCACTTTCACCAATGAGGCAATGATTGATCACCAATTCAAGTACGTGAGTACGTCTAAGTAGGAGATAAGAATCATCCACGTAACTGATTTAGGCCTTGTTTGGTGGTAGCGATTGAGGATTTGAGGTAACGGTTAGTGTTTTGACTACTAGAAAAAATTTGAGAGTGTTTGGCAAGGTAGCGATTCTAGTAGCAGTTAGCGATAGAGGTAATGTTTAGGTAGTTTTTTTCAAACGTTAAAAATAGTAGCATTTAGAAGTAGTGGGTAGCGTTTGACAAATTTTTATTACATTTTAAACAATATTTATATGAATTTTGATATATTTTAGTATTGCAACCGTCATTTTTACCAAACACTCATACTATCAACCGTTACTTTGCCAGCTAACCTCTACCCACTTCTAATTAACAGCTACTCGCTACCTAACCGCTACCCGCTACTTGACCACTAAAAACTACCCACTATCGCTACTTTTGCCACATAAGACCTTAAATATGTATAAAATAATACTTCATCCGTCCCTTAAGATAAATACATATATTACCACATTCATAATTCAAACATTATGAACATAATTATTAATTTCGAAAAAAATAATACAGTAAAAATGAATGCATATGTTTTCTGGTCCTGATTCACGCAATTAGAATGATAAGAAGTATGGAGGGAGTAATTCGTATTAGATTAGTCAGAACCAAAAAAAGAACAAAAAAAAAAAAACTCATCTAATTCCCAATTTCTTGTACAATAAGACACTTTAAAGAAAGAAAGAAAAAAAAAAACGGATTATTCCTTTCAATCCTTTGACATATTCTAGAACCAAAGTGGGCCGTTGAATTGATAAAAGCTGGGCCCAAATCCAATAAAATAGTCTAAACTTCTCACCCTCTCATTATATAATACTCTCTCTCCTCCTCGCGAAAGCATTTCACAACTACTTAAAAGTTTAAACGCCGACGTTGAGCTCTCCCTCTCCTCCAGAACCTTCTTCTTCGCTTGCTTCATTTCTTCATCGAAATCATGCCTCGTCGTTCTGGTGGTAATTTCTCTTTCTCTCTCCTTTTTCTTTTTTTTTTTCCCTTCATTTTAATTCATGTTATTACTGTATTTTAGGAATTAGGGTTTTCATTATTCATCTAGAGTACAATTTTATTTTTATTTTTTAGGGTTTTTATTGTTACTTATTTGTCAACGTTTTGATGGAAATAGAAATTGATACGGAATATTAAATGATGGAGCTTAATTTTATTTATCTATTGAAGTTTTAATTTGTAATTCGTAATGGCTCAATATTTGTATCAATAATGGTGAGAATTAGATTAAGTTGATGTTTTGACATGATTTGATTGAGGGTTTAAATGAATTATATTCTAATTATATGAGATGAGCTTAATTAGGGTTAATCTGATCTCAGCTGGTTTATGTGAAAAATTACAACTTCTTGTTAAGGGTAATCTAATCTATAAATTAGATATCCTTTGATTTGGTTTTCTCATCTTTGCTGAAGATAGCTATAGAAATGAAATATCTGCGCAATTATAAATCTGTAACTCTTTTTGAACGTTAGAAATGTGTATGTTCAGATTGAACCTGGTTAATTTCTGTTACTCAGATGTCCTGCTTATGACATCTTCGTTCGAAGACTAATACTCTTATTCAGCGATTTGTTTTTAATTGAATTTATTTTAAGATTACCAAGTTTTGATGAATCAGGAGGAAGATCTGCTCCTCGTCCCACTGCTCGGCCAGTCCGTAACCCTCCTCAGCCAGGTACATTGGCTTTCTTGTCTGCCTTCAAATTACTTATCCTTTTTTGAATAACTCAAGTAGAATTTGCGATAATCAACTGAAGTTAACTGTTGTAGCTGGCATCAAAATGCTTATTTGTAGTTTTTACTCTCTTGTATGCACTGCTCATGTGTGGTTAATTATTTGCAGCTCAACGTGCTCCTCCACCAGCCCCTGCTCCTGCTTCCAGTGGCGGCGGATCTATGCTTGGGGGTCTCGGTGCCACTATAGCTCAGGGTAAGCAAGTCATTTTGTAGATGGTAGCATGAAAAAAATTTAAGGGCATACTATTCTCAAATTTCTTATTTGTTTTCTTGTTCTTGCTTCTGTAGGTGTTGCCTTTGGAACTGGTAGTGCCGTGGCACACAGGGCTGTGGATGCTGTTGTTGGTCCTCGCACAATCCAACATGAAACTGTTGTTAATGAGGCAGCTGGTGCTTCTCCAGCTTCTGTTAACAACAATGTTGGTGATGCTTGTGGAATCCATAACAAGGCCTTCCAAGATGTATGTTATGTTTTTGTTTTACTTTGAAGTTTGATATTAAAGAATCAAGATGGAATTAATCTAACTGCAGCATTTGGCGACAGACCATTTCCTATTCAATAATAATATGTTTAACCGCTGAAAAATGAAGAAAATCAGGTTATGATTCTGGGCTGCTTGACAATCTGATTTTTGGTTTTTTGTCAATGTGCAGTGCCTGAACAATTTTGGGAGTGAAATCAGCAGATGCCAGTTCTACCTTGATATGTTGAGCGAATGCCGCAAGAACTCTGGTTCTATTAATGCTTGAAGTCTCTTCGGATTGTTTTTTATGGCCAAAATTCTTGAGACTATTGAAGCTCAAAACTTTTAGTGGTGGTTTATATATTTAGTACTGGTGGGCTGATGCCTATTGTTATGCCACTTTTTAAATGCTTTGATGTCTATGGTGTCGGTGACTCCTATTCATAGTTTTAGCCTGGTGGATGTTTCAGATGCTACCAAGCTTTGTGATTGAATAAAGATTTCTTTGAACTTTCTATATTGTTACGGGATGGCTTATGTTCGCAATGGGTCGACTGTTTTGAGTGTTGATGACTTGCTTTCACAATGGGTCGACGTTGTGTAGCTGTCTTATCATTCCAAGATTCAAGGTCTTCTGCACTTGTTTTGATTCTGCATTTCTGCATGGAGCTTAACTGCTCAATATATTCATTTTTGTCAATCACAAATTCACAAGAGACCAGGTTTTCTAGTGCTACAGAAAATATATTATGGAGTATGAGAATTTTGACGTTTTTTGGTTCATCTGATTTTGTACCTTTTTTTTTTGGTGAATTTTCTGAACTTATTTCGTTTGAAGTTATTGTCTTAATTTATATCATTTGAAACTAATTTTGTATAAAATTATTTTACCTATATTTATTTTGTTTGAAATTAATTTTTTTGAAACTTATTTTTATTTTAAAATTATCTTTATTTACTTATATTTTCTAAAAAAAAGTTAAAATAATGTCGAACAACAAACCCGTAGTAAGGTGAATTCTAGGGTTATAACTATATTTAAAGCATATTATGTGTTTAATTTAAGTCCTAGCTAGACTTAAAGGCAATTTTGCTCCAAATTTAAGATTAACTACTACGAGGGGGCTCCAATTTATCATTTTAATAAACTAAATTTGTTTATCGAATTAATGTTTGTATGTTTTTTGTTTTCAAATTTTTATATACTTCGTAAATGATTCTTTCTGCGTTCAATTTATAATTAAGCTTTTCTTGAAAAAAAAAAATATTGATTAAGGGGTTGTTTGGTTGACAAAATAAAATAGGGGAAGTGAAAATTCATGAGATTTTTTAATTTGGGTAGTTGTTAGATTGACACAAAAAAACAACAATGAGGGAAGTTGAAATTCACGGGAATTTCCACATCTCACAAAATGTAGGAAGTAAATTACCTAAGCCCCCCTTAGTTATTCAAAATTCATGGGAATTCTAACTTTCCATTGTAACAACCAAATAACTTAAAGAAATTCCTAGGAATTACATTTGGGAAATAACTTAAAGAACTCTTCTATGGGAATTTGTTTCCCGTGTCAACCAAACAAGGTCTAAGTGTGTTTTCTTCAACCTATAAAAAAACGTTATACATATAGACATAAAGTTTTTATTTTCATGTCAAATTTTGATTTAAGAATGTACGAGTACTCTCTCTTTTTTTGTTTTCCCCAATAACTATAACAATTTGAGTGAGCATGCTTGTCGATACATAATTTTGACAATTAATATCGTTATTTTTTTTAAACAAGCAAGCAAGCGGGATTTTATTATAATAAATCAATTTCCGCCAAATTTGTTAAACTTTGGGGAAAAGAGGACATACAAATACGCTCCGATGAGTTGGAAGTATCCCAACGGGCAACACTATGAGCAAGTACATTCCCACCACGCTTGACATGCATACAATTAAAGGAAGTAAAATAAGAACTAGCAAAGGTCACATCCTCATAGAACAAGAAAACAGGGGCATTGCCTAGTTGCATTCCTCTAATTGCATAAACCACTCTCAGAGCATCACTCTCAAGTATCACAGTAAAATAGACCGTGGATTATGGTCTCATCTCCACCATTACACAAAGTGCAGCGACTTGTAGCTTTGATATGGCACTTGTGTAAAACATCACGTACCCGGTACCCCCAAACTACCCATACATGCCCTCCAAACAAAATGACACAGCTTAGGGGGGCCATTTATATTCCAATCATACCTCCAGAGCTCGGTATTGTCACATCCATGGAAGAGTTCCCAAGTGCGCAAATGCCCAAGCCTACCTAGCCAGTACCCCGACTTGACAGAGTATAATCCATCCTTGGTTGGCCACCAGTACCTTTTATCGCACGGCCATCGTTTAGACAGAGGGATATCTAAAATAGCTTTCCTGTCATTTGCATTAAAATGAGCGTTTTCAACTCACCTACATCCCAACATCCGCCATCAAAATCAATCAAGCTACTCACACGAAGATCAATTAATATCGTTATAATTTTGTATTAGTATAAATTATAAAATGTTGATATTATGAAAATATATATTGTAACTAATTTATCAATATATTGTATGAAAAAAATTAGTAAAAGATATAAGTTTTACGGAGTTTTGTTGATTCAAACAATACGGAGTATACTGTTCCTATCTATTTTACATTTTTTTGGGAAATTCTCAATGGTGACCCTCAATTTGTGCTACATGGAAATGGTGGCCCACTTGAAATTGAATTATATAAAATGACCCTATTTTATGATTTTATCTCATTAATAACCTTATTTATTTAAGAAGAGTTAACTATGGTTAGGTTTATTAAAAAAAAAAAAAAAATCAACCTAGCCACCACACCATCTCCACCAAAACCCTAATACCACCACCCCATCTCAGCCGAAACTCAAACCCAACCAGTAGCCCCTGCCACCGCCAACACCCCCTCCCCATCCCATTTCCGACACTCCCTCCCCTTTTTCCGCCCCATTTCCGTCCCTCTCCCTTTCACCGCCTCGTTTCCGGCCCCCTCCCTTTCCCCTTACACGCCACCGACTGAACTGAAACCGCCCTAACCTAAAAGTCTAAAACCCTAACCCCCACTTGAACTGAAATCACTTATAGATTGGGACATGTGGGGTGGTTTCGGGGCTGTTGAAACAAAAATAGGCTGCTGCTGGCAGAGAGGTTAGAGACTCAGAGGAGATAAGAAGGAAGGGTCGTGGGTTATGGTGGAGGAGTGGTGGTTTAGGTCTGGGTCTAATGGGGGTGTCGGGGTTTGGGTCTGGTGGGGGTGTCAGGTTGGGGTGAGGATGAGAATAGAGGTGGTGGCGACAGCTGGGTGAAGGTGAAGTTGGAGGTGGCGGCGGCGGCTGAGTGAAGGTGGCTGGGTTGATTTTTTTCTTTTAATTTGGTTTTTTTTTTTTTTTTTTTTAAGTAAAAAAAATCTAACATAGTTTAATTTTATTAACCAAAGAACACTCATTAATGTCATATTTGGGATAAAATTCTTAAATAGGATCATTTTGTATAATTCAATTTCAACCATCATTTCCGTGTAACATAAATTGTGGGTCATTTGAAAATTGTTTTTTTTTTTTTTTTTTAAGTAATAAATTTTGATTATCAATACAAAATACATTTTCATTAATAATCGGAGTCACCTTAAATTTCAAAATTAAAGCAATTAAATCTTTCTCCATTTTTATAATTTGGTTCCACAGAAATTAAACCAAAATTATTTTTTTCTTGTATGAAAAGCAATTGAAACAACAGTCTATCTAACTCTAACTGAAAAAACAAACTGATCCTTCGGAGCCCAATCTTTTTACCCGCGAATCAATCAACACATTTTTGTTTGGAGAGCACGAAATCAATCGACCACATTTCACCAGAATTCCTCTTCTTCCTTCTTTCTCTCTCCTCTGACTCAAAACACTCAATTTTTTTTAATCTAGGGTTTTCAATTTCTCAATTTCCAGCTCAATTCAATCAGCTCTGCAACAATGGCGGAAGAAGACGAACAACCGCAATCGCCGCCACAAAAAGCTTCATCGTTAGGGCAAACACTTATACCAGTGGTGAACAAGCTTCAAGATATCTGCTCACAATCTGGTGTTTCGATTCCGATCAATTTGCCGCAAGTTGCGGTTGTCGGAAGTCAAAGTAGTGGCAAATCGAGCGTTATTGAAGCTCTTGTTGGCCGTGATTTTCTTCCTAGAGGTCCTGATGTTGTTACTCGGAGACCGCTTATGTTGCATCTTATTCAAACTAAGGTTAATAATGGCGGTGGTGATGGTGGTGGCGAAGTGGAGTACGGCGAGTTCTTGCATTTTCCTGGCAGGAAGTTCTATGATTTCTCTGAAATTCGAAATGAAATTCAGGTATATTAATTTAACATAAATTTGATAATTTTTGTATTTTTAGGACATTTTATGTGTGTAATTATTAATGATTTATTGTTTTGCTGATATTTGGCAAATTTGTTGTAATTTCGTATGATTTTGAACTTAGGAGTGTTATTGCTTGCTTATAGAGACATACAATAAGAATTGAACAAGGTATCCTCGCCTGAAAATAGCTGTTAGGTTATCTGAATCCCTCGTAATTAAGGAAATGACTTGATTTTATTAGAAGACTATTGATTCGGGATGGAGAAATATTTGGCTGATTTGTTGTAGTCCTGTAGAATGATATTTAATATGCCACTGCTGTTGAGGCTTTTCCGATTTCAATTTTTAGCTCGAGGAAGTGGTTTCTTTGTAATGTTAGGGGAAGGAGGTAGATTTGGGAAGAAAAATGCTTGCTTCTTCATATCATGAAAATTATTTATGTTATGGTAGAGAGAATCGTAAGCTAATTAAACGTTGTTATTCTTTTGCTTGTTTCATGGCTTGACAGTGTCAAGTTATGTTCCTGGGACTTCTTTTTGTTTTTCATAACTCTCTCTCTTACCTTCATGATCAAAATCAACTAATGGCCCTTTTCATTTGCTAATCGCCATTATTATCTCTTGGTCTCAAATTAGATGACCACATCCACTTTTTTTATGGCTGTTAGTTGTTTACTAATTGCTGTGGATTTCTCTTGTCTCAATCATTTCAAGGCCGAAACTGAAAGGGAGGCAGGAGGCAATAGGGGCATCTCAGAGAAAACAATTAGTTTAAAAATCTACTCTCCCAATGTTCTTGACATCACTTTGATAGATTTGCCTGGAATAACAAGAGTTCCAGTTGGTGACCAGCCTTCTGATATCGAGGCACGAATCCGCACAATGATAATGAAATATATACGACATCCTAGCTGCCTGATATTGGCTGTTACCCCAGCAAACTCTGATTTAGCCAATTCTGATGCTCTTCAAATAGCAGGGAATGCTGATCCTGATGGTAAGCTTGCTTTGCTTGTATCTCCTGTTTTTTTCGGGCCTTTGATGTTGTCAAAGGAAATATTTGCCTGATATTGTGTATTGTAAATCCATCATCACTTATGTATATTTTTCATTCAATCAAATGAGCATGAGTGGGTTGGAGTATTTCTGCAGTCATGTTGTTTCACCACTTTTTACTCTACTTCCTACATTTGGCTTAGCTATTTCCTTTTTTCTCTTGTTCCCAGGGAAGCGGACTATCGGTGTCATTACAAAGGTTTAACTGATCTTGGTACAATATCTTATTTATTGTGTTGTTGCAAAGTGGAAGTATTTAATAATTTCGACCCTTTGGTTTCAGTTGGATATCATGGATAGGGGTACTGATGCCCGTAATTTATTGCTCGGGAAAGTTATTCCTCTTCAACTTGGTTATGTAGGAGTGGTTAACCGCAGCCAAGAGGTAATGTTTTGTTATGTAATAAACCTTAAAATTCACATTGACTTGATGAGTTTTGGGTTCTTTGGTGCCATCTAGAAGTTGTAGGTCACATTCTTTGTTTGATGAGCAGGACATTATGCGCAATCGCAGCATAAAGGATGCCCTGGCAGCCGAAGAGAGATTTTTCCGCTCCCATCCTGTATGATTAAAAATTTGAATTTCATTTAGTTCAATAGTGCTAGAGTGTGTTTGGATCTACACTCTTTCACAAAATTTTATGGCTGTCTGGATCTGAATATCAATACTTATCATGTTTTGCAGGAATATGTTAATCTAGCCGATCGTTGTGGTGTTCCACAATTAGCAAAGAAGTTGAACCAGGTTCTTATCTTGACATTATGCTCTATTCTCTTAGGTGTGAATTTTGCTGACTGCCTTTATTTATAGATTTTGGTCCAACATATCAGAGAATGTCTTCCGGCATTAAAGTCAGCGATAAGCTCACAGCTGGTCACTGTGACAAAGGAATATGCAAGCTATGGAGAGACTCCTGATACAAGAGTAAGCTCTACTCTTTTTGTTGGTTCTTATGTATATTTTTTTGTTAAAATTCAGTTAAAAGGAGATGGAGGTGGTGTCAAGCCTATAAGAGGGTTATGTACAAAATCATCAAGCTGTTGAACATGAGAAAGCAGCATTTAGAGGAAGCCTAAAGCATTATTTTCTATCATATTTACAAAATCCTAAAAGAGAATAGTGCTCACAATGAAGCACTTGGCTCCAATTACAAAAACCTCTTTATAGAGCGAAGCCTAACAAAATTATCATATTCCTTTTTTCCACACATGCAATCAAAATTGCTGTAGGAGTTCCACTTCAACAACCCATCAATTGATTAACCTTTTCTGTCGTGCTTCTGACTCATCTTTGACATTGCTTTCCTTAAACAACCAAGGACAGATTGACGAAGCCTGCATCTACTAGTGAATCTGAATTCCTCTTTGAGAAAAGCTTTGGTAGGAACTTTCCCTTTTCCAATGGCCAGGGAAGAAACTTCTCTACTTCTTGGCATGTCACAGAATTCTTTAACAGAATACACCATCACATTTATTGTGGATTAGGTTCTTGTGTTGCTTATAAACCTATACCTAACTTCTCATTTGCACTTTCAATACAAGAGAATCATATCTTGTCATATCATTAGCCTACCTGCACAACTTTGGGTGCTTGGTGAGATGTATTCAACCTTTCTTAATTTCCCAGCTTTATTAAGTAATTGCATAAAGGACGATTCGTTATTAGAATTTAGACCAATTGATAATGTAAAATTAGACGCAACTAACTATTGTTTTAAAAGTAACAATGAATTTATTAAGAGCAGTTAAATGCTGTGATGGATTTTCTTCTTCAATTCATTTCTATCCCCCCCCCCCCTTATAAAAGTAGAGCTTGATGGGAATTGGATCATCTACCTTGTTTCTCATATTATTTTCTCATTGTCATAGCCATCAACTAGCTAAATAACTATGATGATTATAATTTAGCTTACTCCCTCCGTATTTTAATAAGTATTAAACTTTGACCAAACACGCATGCCGACACATGACTTTGACCATTAATTTATCTAATTATATGCTACATTAAAATTATAGGAAAATTGTTCCTATTATGAAAGTATACATTATAATTAATCCAACAATGTATTATACAATAACATTTGTTTTTTGTATATATTAGTAAATTAATCAAGTCAAATTATTATGAATGTTTAAAAATGTCGAATTGTAACACTTATTAAAACACGGAGGGCGTACATCATTTCATTTAGATGCTTTTTATATATGTGCTGCAATTTCTGTAATTTCAATTTATAATTGTTTCTATGTTCCCATATGCTGCAGGCTGGCCAGGGAACTCTCCTGCTTAACATCCTGTCCAAATATTCTGAAGGTTCGGATTGACATGTCATTTCTTTTATCATTGAAATTTAAGTATCTGTAATTAAAATGCAGTTATATTGTTCACAGTATCGTTGCTATCTTCTCTAGTCTTGAGTTGGGTAGTGTATGCTGAACTTTATTTTGTTTCATTGAATTTTCTGCCCTTCAGAGACTAATACATTGGTTTGCTTATGACAGCATTTTCTTCTTTGGTGGAGGGGAAAAGTGAAGAAATTTCAACCTCTGAGCTGTCTGGTGGTGCACGAATTCATTATATTTTCCAGTGTATCTTTGTAAAGAGTCTGGAGGTAAGTACTCTATCCTTTGTGGTGTACAGTGTCTGAAAGTTTATTTGGACATTGAATTCTATGATCCCAATTTGACTAAAATTAGCCAGGTCTTTCTGCAATGATGTATACACTGCAGATCACCCATTTCCCTGGTAAAGTGGTAACGTCTAATGTAGTAATGTTTTTAAATGACAATGTAGGATGTCGATCCATGTGATGGATTGCCAGATGAAGATATTCGAACTGCGATTCATAATGCAAGGGGTCCAAGATCTGCTGTGTTTGCTGCAGAGGTTAATCTTCTCCTTTTATTGTTTAATGGATACCTTTTATTTTAGATTTCAGTCCCCACCCATGTCAACTTTTACCAGGACAAATGAATACAATGTTTGCTTTTATCACTACAGGGCTTTTCCAGTTTTGATTCTTTTGAACATAGTGATAGACTCTCAGATTTACTAATTTTTAGTGGGCATTAGAAGGCACTTCATTTCTCCTTTCCCGCTCCAATTCCTTAGGTTAGGGTTTATAATGACTGGCTCTTTGCAAAGGCAAAGATGTAAAGTTATTTGAGATGTATAGTTTTGTGTTTTTTACTCAAGTTAATGGATGTTGTAACTTGAAAATGCATCCTACCCCTCTGTCGTATATATGCTGCCTTATGGTATCCTATTCTGCTGTTTAGCTCTTTGATTGCTAGTATTATTATACCACAGGTTCCTTTTGAAGTTCTTGTCCGAAGACAAATAGGCCGCCTATCAGACCCTAGCATACAGTGTGCTCAGTTTATTTACAACGAATTAGTAAAGGTAAGGAGCCCTTTGTTTTTGACTAAGAGACAGTTATATCTATTTGTTAATGTTTTTTCTGGCAGTCTAACTATAGCAAGCTTTATTGTGGTGAATAATTTTTAGATGAGCCATTCATCCATGGTTAATGAGCTGCAACGTTACCCTGTCCTCAGAAAACGGGTCGATGAGGTTGTGGGAAGATTTTTGCGGGAAAACCTTAACCCTGCAGAGAGCATTATAAGACACCTCATTGAAATGGAGGTATGTTGATAGATAATGTTTATTGCGTTATACGAAGTATTGTTAAGGGCATGCCAAAATTGAAGTAAAAAAGGAAATTCTTTTGTTTGCCACCATATATCTAATTTAATTTCTTTAATTTAAATCACTAATGCATGCCCTCAAATTTTATGTTTAAATAACTTGTCTGATGAATCGGCAAGGTCAAGTCAGCTAATTTGATTTATGCTGGTATGAGCCAAGCAGTCCACTAGCAGGTGTAGACTTATTTGATTTATGCTGGTCTGATGAATCGGCAAGGTCAAGTCAGCTAATTTGCTCCTATTATGACATTAATTAATTTATTTTTTGGCTTAAAACATGATGAAATATAATGAATTCTTACTGTAGAATTATAAAATTACTCATTCCCTATATAGTCTTTTGTTTCAAACACTTTATGCTACTGGGATGGGGAATAAACTACTGCTTAAGGACAGATTCTTGCAACGACTATTGAGGTCAAAGGAAGATTTCTGTTTCTACTTGTTTTTTAATTTCAATAGTTTGATAATCATTGTATTAAGACCATCAAAGGTATCCTTTATGAAACTTAAATTTATGGCTGATTGGTGCTCAGCTGCTACTGTTCAGCACTGTGTGTTTTCCCTGCCTTTATTCTTCCTCGTGTTCTTTTGTGAGATGAATACTTTCATTCTATATATTGCTGTCAAACCTCATGGTGTTGGATATCCTTGTTGAATTTATTTTTTTATGGTGTTTGGAAAGAAAAGATAAATATGCCTTTTGAGTTATGATGCTAGGAATGCTCACATAGTCACATTCAAATACAAATGTGTTTTGCAGATGGACTACATAAACACTTCCCACCCAAACTTTATTGGTGGAAGCAGAGCACTAGAAATGGCTCATCAGCAAATTAGGTCATCAATGGTAGTTGTACCAGTGTCTAGACAAAGGGTATCGATTTCCATCTTACATATATGGACGCCATTTGTCCCTGTAACTATTTGCTGCATAAATTTCATTATTATGACTTTTGGCATTCTGGATCAGGATACTGGTGAATCTGACACGACTCAAGGTTCTGAAAGGAGTTCAAGATCTAGAGCTATTGTGAGGTCACCGGCAAATGGCTTTATTAAGCCACCAGCCAATGGAGTGATATCGGATCAGGTGCAATTATTTCCTTCCTGGTTTATTCTTTATACTTCTTGTTCTTGATGCTCAAAGTTTTGAATTATGTCTTTTGAAAAGCATAGGGAAGAACTTCATGTTTCTTTTATAGACTATGGAACGAGCGGAACTTAGTTTTGTTATTGCTTTCTTGATTCCATATATGGCATACACTCTCAACCTTATTCATCTGTTTGAATGAATAGGGAGTTCGAGCAAATACAGAAGCAGATAGAAATCGGCCTACTGGTAAGCACACCCCCCCCCCCCCCGCTGGTTTATAGTATGCTTGTAATTTTTTTTCTTCCTTCTAGCAATGTTAATATCCAGTCTGTTATTGTTTTGACCTTGTGAATAGTGCAAAATTCACAGAATTAGGGTGTCATGGTCACTGGTCAGTATGTGCGAGGGAGGGTGATATTATGGTTTATCAGTGTGCTGAAATGTGCATTCATAATTACAAATCTCTTTTTGTGGATCCTTTTGGGAATGTGTTGTAGATGCAGTGATGCTGGTCACTTGGCTAAGTTGTCAAAGAGGATATCTTAAACCAGCTACTGTGCTGGTAAATGATGCTAATGTAGTAATATTTCCTGTAGAAAATTCGCACTTTGATACTGATCTATTAGGTTTTAGCTATTGAAGTACCCAGTGTCTTGTTAAGAAAAAAACTCTACATGGTAGAGACATTATTTAGAGACTGAGTTCAAACAGTATACTTCTCAATGTTACTCTATGTATAACCTTTGGGTATGTTTTCTGACGGGTAAGATGCAGTTTGACATGCTAAAAATTTTCTGGCTTTGCGAATCTGCGTAAAGACTGGGTTAGAGTCCAAACCCAAGTTTGCCTTGAGTAGAATGTACTTTATAGGTTATTCCGTGTCAGGGGATTTAATACTGTGTGATAGAATTTTGTGTGTGTGTGTGTTTTGGGGGGGGGGGGGGGGGTGTGCTAGATGAATGTTTGGGTCCATAGGACCTGATGTATTGATGAGTTAGCAATTATCTGTCAAGGATTAATGATGTCAAATCCATGCTTTAGCTTATGAGTAATGAGACGGAGACCCATATACCAATGATCTATGTGAGCGCATCTTACAATTTGTTCTTCATTTAATTATTACACGTTTCCTTACAGGTAGCTCCATCTGGGGTATTTCATCCATCTTCAGTGGGACTGAGAACCAACCTTCTACTCGTGAGGCTCCTAAAAGTATTGCGCAAAGGGAACCTGCATACAACATTGATCATGCCCCTTCTACCATTCAGCTGCGAGAGGTGCATTTTATGGCTTTTGTATCTTTAACATTGACTGCATTTATTAAGAGCATGTTATCTTACATCTCTGTGTTACTTTATGTCAGCCTCCTACAATTTTGAGATCTTCGGAGACTCTTTCAGAGCAAGAAGCTACAGAGATAGCTGCTACTAAATTGTTATTATCATCTTACTTTGACATTGTGAGGAAAATTATTGAGGATTCAGTGCCCAAGGCTATCATGCACTTTTTGGTTGGTGATTATGAACAATACCTTCCTTTATGCTAGTATCAATTATCAAATGTGAAATGAAGCCGTAGCTGGCACTCCTACTAGTACAATGTTGAACTTATATCTCCCATTTTGGGCAATCTCTGTATGTCCTTATCAGGTCAATCACACAAAACGTGAGCTGCACAATGTTTTAATTCAAAAACTTTACAGGTATATAAACTGTTCAGCTGCATATGCATTAATTTTGGAACATTAATGTGTAACTCTTTTGCAATCCTTCTCGTGCCAATGGTGACCATGTTTTAGCTTACCAAAGTTATGGTGTATTTCTTTGGTTTCTGCAGAGAAAAACTATTCGAAGAGATGCTGCAGGAACCTGGAGAAGTGTCAGCTAAGAGAAAACACGCTCGAGAGACACTCCGAGTTCTTCAACAGGCTTTTCAGGTGAGTTCTGTGGAACTCTACTTTTGTAATGATAATACACAAGAGCTCATCTTTTAGTGGTATTTGAAGACAATTTCACAGAACACAGTTTTTAGTTCCACATACCCGATTAAGTTGCACATTTCTATTAGACTTGTTAGGCATGTTGGCCATGATGGTGGTTAGCTGAAGCTCTGTTAGATATGCCACTATGTGCAAAGCTAAATTATTCAAGAAAAGCTACCCTTTTCACTACTTGTTAGAAAAGGTTACCCTCTCGTCTGATGACAAATTTCTGTATGCTGAATAAGCATTACTTGACTAATCAAAATCTGTTTTCTCTTGATGACATTAATTGCTTGCTTTGTTTGTAGACATTGGATGAATTACCTCTTGAAGCTGAGACGATTGAAAGAGGATATAGTTTGGGTACCGACTCAATTGGGTTACCAAGGACTCACGGGTTACCACCTACATCCTCTTATAACATGAATATCTATTGACAAGTTAATGTTTGTTCCAATGATCTGGATTGATGGTTTTCTCACCACTGTCAGTGTCAGTTCTCAATGCTCCTATATGCTATAGAGCTGGAGCAAATCATTCATTAATACGCACAAAAAATCGCGCCGCCTTTTTGAGCTCATAAAGTTGTGAATCCCAGGTTCTCTTGAGGAGCCTTGACAAGCAAGAACACGTTGCCCCTGTCGAATCATAGGTCCTCGGTACATATTGATTTTTTTTGTTATTTTACAATTCATAAGTGAAAGGGGAAATAATAAGTTGTAATTTTTGATAAATGATCGATTAATGTGTTTTCTATAGCTTCAATCATTCTATTACGAATATATTATGGCAAATGCAACTATACTACCTGTGATTCTTTTTCTTCGTTCTTGTATTTTCATATTTTTTGTTTCAAGTATTTGTTACCATCTCAGCAGAACTTTTGAGCCCTATTAAAATAGGTTTTCTTGAGTGTAACTTAAAAGTTTAAAAGCAAGCCAAAGTTGGCAACCGACAAGGCGACCATCCTAAAAGCTTGATAAAACATTTTTCACTGTATACCCTCTCTTTCATAATAATCGAAACAGTTTGACCAACACTTGTGTCAAATTGTTAATGTACAAAAGTGACAAAATCATTAATCCAAAAATACGAAATACAATATCAAGGCTAATCTAAGTATTTTACATATATTGGTAAAAAATATCATAATTAGTATATGCATAATGCAAAAGTTAAATTGTTGTAATTTATTATTAAAAGTAGTTAATTTTTATTTTTTTGTTAAATACTGATAAATGTTGATCTTGAAAACTAAAAATATGAACGCCTGAGCTTATATTGGAACAAAAGAAGTACTTCGTACAAACTATGCTGAAGAATTTCGTTCTCTCCTCGAGTCTTTTCATTTATACAACATTAGTAATGTACTCATGCTTATCAAAAAGTCAATTGTGCTCCATATTGGATTGTTAACTACTCCGTGTTGGTGAATTGGTAATCTTTTAAAGTTTAATTATTCCTTGTTAGAGGTGTATCAATTCTCAATCTTCTTTAATCTTAAATATTATAATACCAATCTAATGTAATTCTAATACTTTTATCTTGATACTCCTTAGTTTTAGAAGAACAACCAAATAAGTAAAATGAAATAGAGAGTAAATAAATGAAAAAGAGTGTCGTTGACTATGTGTGACGTTGATGTGCTAAACTGCTAATTGATTGACGATGAAGTGCTTGCTGTGATTGGTGCTCCTCATATACTAATTACTTAAACGTTGTTTCAATAAAATAAAGAAACGTTTCCCTACTACAAATTGCATTGAATAGTAGAAACGCAAAGACTACTACCATATAAGTATATAATTTTATACTTTAATTGCCAAGTGGAACTAAATACAAGTTTGAGGGTAACTTTAACCACTTAAAGGATAATTTTTAAGTTGTCGTTGGTTTGGATTTTATTTTAATGTGAATTTCTTATAAATTCATGATTACATAGTATAAAGGCTAATTAATATGATTAATCTAATATATTAACGTACATAAGGCGGGGATGAAAATCGATACCAGGATCTCCTGAAACCGAGAGAGAAGCTCTAACCACTTGAGCTATCCCTCACTCTCGGGTTGTTTGATTTGTTAAATTGGAATGGATTAGTATAAAATCTTATACAAGTATATAATAACCTAACTTTAAGGTAACCCCAAATGCCAAAGTGAAACATGTTATTACCTCAAAACATGTACAATTGAGGTTCCTAATGTAGAATTTTGTCTATTTTTAGTACGCGAAACATAGATTGTCCGAAATGATCAATAAGAGTATGAGAAAAGGAAATTCTGAGAAAATAGAAAATTTTCAATTTTAAGAGTTTAATTAAGACATTGATAACAACAAATCAACAATGCTTATTATTAAAAGGCAAAACCAAAAGTATCATACATACGTACAATCATGCATAAGCTCAAATATAAACTTCACCACACCCTCCACATTCCTTTAACACACACACACTGCAAATATAAATAATACATCACATCAAGAAGTCAATTAAGGTTATTACACTAAGTTTCTTAGGCTTCTTTGACAACAACCACCTCATCGCCGGAGGCAGAAAGCTCACACCTGCAGCCATTGCCGCACTCGAAGAAGACTTTCCCGGCATCAGGGCCTTCAGTCTTTACGAAGCTACAAGTATACCCTTCTCCGCAAACACAGAATCCTCCCTCAGTCTCTACTTTGGTAGACTCATCACTGCATGCAGTTTTAAAAAAATTAATTAATTACTGTAAATGCTTAGTTATTTTTCATAAAAGAATAAACTAAAGCTTGTTAAATTTTTTGTTTCAAGTGTACGCATACTACTACTAGTTATTTTACAATAGCTACGTAAGTAATAAGGTAAGGTACGTAATAGTTAGTGTGTTACATGTACATTCAACGAAATATAGTTTTTCAAAATGTTAGGTACAACTGTATAAGTATGAATATGTACGTACGTGATGCAAACACAGCTTTCGGAGCATTTGGTGAAATGCTCGCCACCGGCAAGAAGTTCAGGTTCTTCAATCTTTTTAATCACGCAAGTCCATCCCGGGGCACATTTGCAGCATGAGTTTCTGTAGCGGAACAATTAACACACATACATACAGAGTTTAAATGTTTAATTTAATATGTAAATTAAAATGTACTACGTAATAATGTACATACAAGTATAAATAAATGTGGCTCTAGCATATAATTTGTCCAAGAATTCATGTAATATTCCTATACAGGCGACGGAACTCTGTGCTGTCAGGCACTCGTCGGAACCAGGAGGTCCGACAAGAAGGACAGCCGGCCTATTCAACCGGCAAAAAAAGAAGAAAAGAAAAGAAAAGAAGTCTGGGCAGCGGACTGCACTGGTCAACGTCCCAGAAGAAACAGAAAATATCATAATAACATTAAAAAAAATAAATAAAAAAAAAAAAAGGGTCACATTACGTACCCAACAGCTTCACCAGGTGGGCAGCAAACCTTTGATGCTTCCATGATTTAATTAAACTTGTTGGCAGCTTCTTAAATATGTGATTATCTCTCTTAAGTAGTTAATTTCTTTAGTGTTAAGATTGATTTAATTTGATAAGATAAGCTACAATATCTCCCTATTTATAGAATTCTAAATTTGATGTAAACATTACAAATGGCAGATTGGTAGCGCACTACTGTGAAGAACTTGTCTAATTAAACTCTCACGATGTACCCTAATAATTAAATGGTATCTTCCTTTTTGGTCCTTTTCGTGCGTTTTTTTTAGAATTAGTTGAAACGACAATTATTATCCATCCGATAATTCTAAATGATATGATCATCAAGACGGATTAATATCGTTAAAAAAATGTTGATAGTTTGAAACTATATATTGATATGAACTTAACAAGATCTTAGAAAGTATGTACTCTGTATTTGACAAAGTTTTATTATAAACACAATTGTAAGTATAAGCGGTAATATTTTATGAACTTTGACCATCGAAAAATAACATTAAGGATTTAGAAATGATGAAATATTCAATTTTTTTGTAAGATTTTGTAATTTTAAAATTCTACCATAAATATATAATTTTACAAAGGTGCAAGCAAAATAAAATCTTGCCATATTCATAATTATAGTCACCGAAAATGACATAAAAATAGAGAAATAAACGTTAGCTTGTTTATAATTAAAAAGATTATTCAAATTGATGGTAACTGGCTAATATGTTGAAGGAAAGGTTTGATTTTTACTTATACTCCCCCGTCCACATTATAGTTCCTGTTTCCTATTTTGAATACTCAAAATATTGTTACCGTTTTTATTTTTGGATAATATGTAAAGATTATAATACCCTTATTTTTTTAACAAAAATTATTTATTAAAATTCCTAAATTACCTTGAATTTTCCACTTGCTTTGTTTTTTTTTCACTTATCTCTCTAACTTTTGTCTATAATTGTACTTTTTACTCTTTTTTTTAATGTACTTCATCCACTTCTCCTCCCATTTTTAAATACCGTGAAAAAGCACAAATAACTATAAACTGAAACGGAGGGAGTTTGAACTTATCTTATTTTATTTAAATATTTTTGAATTCATTTTAGTTGTAATTTGAAGTTGTTAACCCTTTTCAACCAAGGTCTAACTTTGCCAAAAGGATGACTTGTGTAGTTGTGTGAAATATACAAATAATCGTTGGCTCCTTGTCAACCTAATAAAAAGTAAAGCCCTAAATTTTATTCTATTTTTTAAAAAAAAAAAATTCTATCAAAGCTAAAAATATGGAGTAAGATATAAAAAATATCGTAGCAAAAGAAACGTACTACGCATTATTAATTTAAAAAAACGTAATGAAACGAAACGCCAAGTTTTTTTCCGTAATAAAAAAAGTCCAATTGAAATAGTTAATTTTGCCAGTCTGGCCAATTGAAATTGTCAAATATACATACCATACTATGAATCTATGATGATCCAAATTTCATTCTTTAAAATTGCCGTTTTTTTTCCTTACTTTTTATTGTACGAAACCCGTTTCTCTTTATAGCTGCCCTTTAAGAAACGGACCCCTGCTTCAACTGCGTCTTCTCCGTGCAACAGTCATCGTGATTCGTGATTTTTTCCAAGGTAACTTCTTCTTTTTCATAATCTTTTCTTTCTCCATAATTGTTATCATGTTTTAACTTACAGTTATATTTTGGTTTAATCATATTGCATGATTTTATAGGAATTTTTGCAATTTCTGTATTTTTGTTTTCAACAATGAAATTAATTAAGAAAATGGTTGTAACTCTCTTAGTTTTTTCTTAAGATAATTTATTTTTCATGACATTGTAAGTGATCACTTATTAGCATTCATATCTGATATTTTTAGAGACTTAGTCTAAATATTCTGTTCATGATATTGTATTATCTCTATCCCAATATAGTTGTCCCATTTTTCATTTTCGTCCGTCCCAATTTTTTTGGTGTCCCGTCTTTAATCATGGGTGAGATTTTTTCCCTCTATTATTTTACAATTACAGTGCAGTTAGAGACATGCCGCACCTTTGAGAGCAAACTTAGAGGGACGGAGGGAATACTAATTTTTTTATTGCATTACGAAGTACTTTTTTATACTCCTTAAACAGCGTGTAAAATGCCAATAGGGCAATGAAATTGGGATAGGGGAAGTGATTGTTTATAAACCAATAGCATGAATTTTAGTATTAGTTAATTAGTACATAGGTCACTTCTTAAAAAGGGATGTGTTCTTATGTGTGTAAATTTGGCAGTTATCAGTAACTGAAAAATGCCTGCAGAATCTGAAAAATGGGGGTGGAAACATGTAAGTGTGTTTGGAGGGTTTGATAGAGGGAGTGGTACTAAAAGGTGGAAGTGTAACCACTGTAATCAACGTTACAACGGGTCTTATTCGCGTGTTAGAGCCCATCTTCTTGGTTACAATGGGTTGGGTGTCAAACCTTGTCCTGCAATTGATAATTCTATAAGAGAAACATTTAGTGTATTTGAGAAGGATCGCGTAGCTAAGAAGCTTATGAAGAAGAAGGGAGTTTCTTCTAGTCGAAACAATATGACAAAGTACACTGTTGGAGTTAACCAACAAACTGAACCTGTGGATGATATTGTGGCAAGGTTCTTTTATGTGGATGGAGTGAATGTCAACGTCGTGAATTCAGCCTACTTTAGGGAAATGGTAAAAACTGTGGGTGCTTTTGGTCCTAGTTATGAGCTCCCTTCGATGGAACATTTATCAGGCTCTTTGCTGAGTAAAGAAAAAGTCAGATTAGAGAAAGCCTTGGCACTAGCTAGAGAATCCTGGCCTAACACAGGGTGCACAATACTATGTGTGAATCGTCTGGATGGCTCACTCGGATGCTTCTGTGTTAACTTTTTTGTAGCGAGTCCTAGAGGTGTCATGTTCTTGAAAGAGGTGGACATCATTGAGGGAGATGTACCAGATAATCTGTTCATCAATGAGCTTACCAATGTGATTGCTGAGGTAGGTTCTTCTAATGTGTTTCAGGTCATAACTCGTCTAGATGGGCAAGTTAGTGATGTTTTTGAGTCAGTGATTTTATCCAAGTTCCCTAATATCTTCTGGTCTCACTGCACTTCACATTCTGTTCTTCTGTTGATGGAGGAGATGGCTAATCTTGATTGGATGAAGGATGTAGTTTCAACTGCTAGTGAGATTGAGAGGTGTGTTTCTGCTTTTCGGAGTTCATCTTCTTGCACTAATTTAGATGTTCTTAAGGGATCCAGAGACCAAGTCTCACAAAAGTTTGCACCCTCTTTTTCCCTGGTTAGGAAGATTCTTGAAATAAAACAAACTTTGTATGACTTAGTTGTTAGAGAAGAGTGGAAGCAATGGAGACTTCAGAATGCTCAGGAGGTCGGATTCAATGTTGAAGCAATCATAGCAAGGGATGATTTTTGGGGTCGGGCAAACTTAATGGTAGAGGTGTTTGAACCCTTCATGAGACTTCTTGCAACAATTGATGTCGATAAATCTATGGGGGATGTTTATAATTGGCAGATTATGTCACTTGAATCCTTGAGGAGTAAAGGAATAAAAGATGAGCTGTTGTTGAATCAGGTGGAATTGCTTATAGAAAATAGGTGGGATAAGTTATTTTCTCCACTTCATGGAGCAGGTTATATGTTGCATCCTAAACATTTTGGGAAAGGCCAGAGCAAGAACAAGTGTCTATTGAGGGCTTGGAATGCCACACTCGAGAGATATGAGTCTGGCTTCGAGGCTAGGAGAGTACTGAGAGAAGAGCTAGGTGTGTACTGGAGAGCAGAAGTATCTTTTGGAGAAGAGGATGCTGCAGACTGTAGAAATAACATGGAGCCAGTCACATGGTGGGAGAACTTTGGATTCGAGACACCTCATCTTCAGACATTAGCCATTAAGATTTTGAGTCAGATTCCTAGTGCAGCAATTATGTGTGAGGAAAGCTGGCAATTGTGCGATAGCATGCCATGTAGGGAGGCTGTTGAAAAGCTTGGATTTGGATCAGATCAAGCAAAAGATTATGTGTTTGTACGGAATAATCTGAAACTTCAGGCCCTCAGGCATCGGAAGGTGGGTGGTCAATCTGGTTTGGGGTGTGGAAATTGGGGCATATGTTGTTGAGCTTTGTATCCTATTACATCATCAGTAGCACATCAACTTCCGAAGCAAAACATGCAAGTGATGTAACAGTGAGTAATCAAAATCTCTTCTGTTTCTGCTATTTTGTATCCACAAAATACTAATTTACTTCTAGATTAGTCCTAAATTTAGCGTTTACAACGCCTTGTTTGTTTGTTTACAGATGCAGATGGTTTGTTGGTGTGCCAGTTCATGCCCAACAGCACTGCTGTTTGTTTCATTTACATCAGCAGGAACTTTTCTTGCTGATTGTTGTGAACCATATGATGTACTGTGAGGCCTGTCTGTAGTGTTTTAATGCTGCAAATTATGTAAAGCTCTCATGACATGTAGTCTGACTTGTGAAATCTTATTGTATACTAGTAATGATTCTTGTTGTAAATGCTATAATCATACACCTCAGTCCATTTCACAGCACTTCTCATACGGTATATCCTCTGGCAGATAAATTACAAATGTGAACGAAACTCTTCGCTCTTTTATTTCAGATCTTTTTCTGGTTCAACATGTATCATAAATTAAGAAACTCTTTGCTCTTTTATTTCAGATGAATTTTGCAAGGAACTAGATTTTCTTAATTTATGATATACATTTGAACCAGCAAGCGTGACAGAAAGTCAAGATCTGAAACTGACTTAGATAACTACTTTTTGTTTCTTGTGCATGATGTATATGAGCATGAATGTTCACTCTTTTTTGCTTAAAAATTTCATATGTATATCCTGATGGCCTGCTCACAGCAAGCAGGACTGCAGGACGAATGAAAATGACATATTTCTGCAAAGAAACCTTGATCATGCTGGGAGCATATTGTAAAGGACATTGTTGAGGTGGTATAGTATGTATGATTTTGTAAAGGGCAGATTTCAAGTATTTGTTTGATCCTTATATTTCTATGAAGTTTAAGATAGAGTCATACATACTCAAATCCAGTGCTAAACATCTTACCTAGGAGAGTGTACTTTTTAATCCTATCTTTGTTTGAATTACGTGTGTACAGTATATCAGAGATTCAGAAGAGTTATTTTCAAACATCCTAATGATTTTCATTTGAAGAAAGTTGAAATTTGCGGAGGGTAGATCTTTCTCCTGTAATCAAAATGGTCCTTATGCAAGCAGTTTATTATAAAATGCCTAATATATCTACTTGCTGCTTGTAGCAGAACAGTTTCTGCAACACATTTGCAGATGAAACTTTGATTTGCTTAAATTTTGTTGGTTAAGAAATTATACCGACATACATATTGTATATGGCCTTTTATATTCAGCTTTGTACAGTTGTACTGTTGTACTGTTGTATACGGCCTTTCAATCAAGAACCACGCTGAAGGATTACTGTAAATTAAACTTATGTATTTCAGGCTGAAGAAAGTCGTCTTAATTTATCAATCATAGCTTATGTATTATGAGGTTGTTATGATATCTCTCAACCTTAATTCGATTTGTCTGTAACAGTATTATGAGCATTATTGTGTTTATCAACATAGATTTATGAGACGAAGGGGTTCACTCGAATCACTCCATGCCCAATTAACAGCCCAAGCTCTGAGGTACTCGAGAGTTCTTTCAGACTGAAGCAGTATATATATTATAGCTAATATACTGTATAAAGCTTCATATAAGCCACTTGTTTAAAGTTTTAACGACGATGTAGGACTCTGAGGAGTTTTATATAACAGCAAGTCTTTCTGTCCACAAGTACAAGATTCACAGTGTATTGACAGCAACGATTTACTAGTACAAGCGTACAGCTTCATGGAACACTAAAAGTCTAAAACAACATAATTAAACTACAGACATAAAATTATTGTGGTGCAAATAAACTCCTCCAAATTAAACATCCTAATTAGACAACATTCAGGCATCCTTGAGAATAACAGCTTCAGATCCGGAAGCAGGAACTTCACACGCGCAGCCATTGCCACACTCGAAAAACACTTTACCTGCATCAGGGCCTTCAGTTTTTGTGATGGTGCATGCATACCCTTCGCCGCAATAGCAAAATGCCCCTGCAGTCTCTACTACTTGTTTTCCTCCTGATGACCCCTCTTTTTTCGAATCATCCCTGCAAATTTATTAATTTCGGCTACATAAGTTTTAAACATGTAATCTCTAAAACTATCATCATCTAACAGTGATTTCCACAATATAAACTCATATATATATACACCTTTCATTATAAACACCAGTACACAACTATCAGTAGATTGTTACTCAAAAATCAAAATACATTAAATCATACAATAAAATGTATTTGTAGATATAAATTTGTTAAAAAAAAAAAAAAAAAACTCCATTCATCCAAAATAAGTTTCATATGTGCTGTAAGTCTGTAACTATTATACTCCATAAGACATAATAATAAATATAAATAACCAAAAAAAAAAAAAAAACCTTAGTAATACTGAAGTTGTGCTGAATTAATACATTTTCCATCTTTTTATTATAGTAGTGACATTATAATATTTAATCATCAATCATTACTCAATGGACAGATTATTTTCATATTTAACAATCACAATAATTTGTTTGATTTAAACTAGCGACGTGACAATTTAACGAATGGAGTGAGTATAGACGGGGGATATATTAATATTCTAATGCATCATCTACAGCTTGTGAAAACTGAAAAGATGATGATTATTGAAAAAAAAAATATATATATTAAGGAGGAGGTAAAATAATTACGTTATGCAAATACAGCTTCCTTCGACACATTTGTAGAAAGGCTTGACATCGGTTTGAGGTTCCTCGATTTTTCGAATCACACAAGTCCACCCTGGTCCACACTTGCAGTATGCTTTGTCATTCGAGGGAACATTACTAGGCCTGATAAAGAAGATCGACAATCAACTCATAATAATTAAGATAAACTAGTATAGCACCCGTGCGAAACACAGTTTACAAATTCTTACTTGTAAGAGCATGCAAATATATTAGTCGATCTTTTTATGAAGAGAGAGGACATGAGATACCTCAAACAAAAATTAGCAAGGACAGAACTAATAATATGTACAAATTTAAACTAAAATTCAATGAAGTTAGAAAAAAAAAATTGAAGTTGGGAGGGAGGAAAATAACATACCCACAAGATTTGCCACTACCAGGTGGGCAGCAGCTCTTGGTTTCTTTTCCTTCCATAACCAACTTTGCTCTCCTGCTTAATTAATCACTAATCCTTTTTTTTTTTTTTTCTAAATTAATCTCTAATCTCTGAATTGATAGGAAGGAGATAGGTTTTTTGTTCTCTCTTTCTTATAGAAGTACAATTTCCAGATGAAACTTCGTTCCACCTCACTTCCACCTAAGTATAAAATTAAATTTATTTTTCAGGAGACCCACCTAAAGTCTAAAGAAGTGGACTGTTTGTCCTCATTAATCATTATTTTTATAATCTAAATTTGGGTAACATTAAATACTACTGTACATGTAATTTTATTTTTATTCTTATACACGTAGTAGTTATTTGTAGCTCATAGGATGCCACAAAATTAGTCATGGGTTCTTACTTCTTACTCAATGTAAATATTGATATAATTCGTATAATTTTGTCCTAATTATTGATAATATTAATTAATGGTATATATTTAACCCTAATTTAATATTTCCTCTGTTTTAATTTTTTTGCAACAGTTTGACATTTACCACTATTCACATTTATGTTTGACAATCTTAAAAGGCAAATTATAATCAAGTGAGATCTTATTATATTTGTGTAATCATTTTAATATATATTTTTATAATATCTACTTTTTTTATATTTTTTATTTCATAATACTTCTTAAGTTTAGATGTTACTGGTTACAGTTATGTACATCTACAGATATGAAAGTTAAGTTATTTATAGATACATATGAGACAACAGCTAATAGATGATACAATTTGACATACACTATAGATTAGTCATCGGTCCATTGTTTTTCCTTTTCTTTAAAACGAGACAATTAGTCACAATCATGTGTAGGTTTTTCGTGAACAAGGTCTCAATATTTGGCAAGATTCTTTTGATAAAGTTATCGTGACCTTCACTCATCACTGCATGCCTACAACGCTGTGAAGCCTGTGATAGCCAATTAACTAGAGATTAGCGAAACGTTTCATCTTCCCAAAGTGAATTGTTAAACTTTTGCCACGCATTGGTTTGTTCCTTTGACAATTTAGGTTTTGTGTTTTGCATTAAGGCATATAATATGTGGGGTCACCTCACCCGTCAATTGTCGGACAAGTGTCATTAAAGTGAAAACGTTTTTTTTTTTTTGCTTCAAAGAAACGCTTTTCAATTGCTGGATATAATTGCAAAACTATAGTACTCCGTAAACAAGGTAAGAAGTACAAAGTTAAATTACAAAAGTTTGATTTTATGGAGTACAAATGTACATTATTATAAATACATTTAAGTTTTTTTTTTTTTTTTGGGTAATGGTTTAACAAATAAACAGATAAGGTCATAAGGATACTTGTTAAAATCTTAAATTAAAGTTGAAAATTTGAAATTTAGAATAGTCTTATGGATACAATATTATGGTAACCACTAAAAATTCATCCATTTCCTTATTCATATACCGTACTATGTAGTTATACAATACAGTGGTAATTATAGTACAGATTACAGAGTATATGTATATAAAAAATTTCAAGTATTAAGATTTTAGAAAAGGTCTTTCAAGCAATTTGAGAAATTCGATAAACATATTACCTCTGTTTTATATTATTTGCAACTTTGAAATATTATTTGTGAGATATAAAATATTCTAAAATTAAAAATAATATGAAATGAAGGTACGTAGTATATAAAGTAGTTGTTAGCAAGTTTGGCCAATTTAGTATGTTGATCTGACAATGTATATGTGATTTTTTATTGCTAATAATCTTAATATCCAACATCCCTAAATAATTTCTAAACTGATTGATGTGAGAGTATAAAAAAAACAATTATTATATATGGAGTACTTCGTATTAAAGGTACATTTGGGGAAAAAAAACCTTATCATCATCCTATATATCTATAGTAATATACAAAGTGAGAAGGAGTTTTGGGTGATAAATTTCACTTTTCCAAAATACCCCTCTTATTTTTTTTTTTTTAAAAACTACCATCGTTAAAATAAAAAACTATTATCCTTATTTTTAAAAAAAAAAAAATCTAACATCCTTTTTTTCTTTTTGAGAGAATTCATATCCTATCTCCATGACTTCATCAACATTTTTTTTATACGTATAATACTCAAGAAAAACTCCCTTGAAAGAGAGGATATTCTCCCTCGAGAGAAAGGCGAACCTTACCACCGTTTCTGGCGTGGTTGTTCTTCGCCTTCAATGGCCGACGACCTAATTGAAAAATACTCTAACCTAAACATTGAGGAGGATGAGAACGAAATTGTGGACATTGGTGAGGTCGATTCAACCGAGCAGGACGCGAAGGTTTCCCTAAGTTGGTAAATTATTGACAGACAGAGGGGTGAACGCAGAGGCCTTTAAACGCACAATTACTGTAACACCCTAGAAATTCCTTTCTTTTTAAATACCTGTTTTACTCTTTTTAAAATACGAAAAAGGAAAATTTAAGACATTACCGCCACCGTGAAAACGGCTAAGGCAGATATCAAAGCCACAAAGCGGAAGGCTATCTTTAAAACCAATCAAAACAAGTCAACTTAAAAGTCAAACCAAACGAAAGTAAAGTCAAACAAAGTCAACCTACAACTTGGAACCATTGTAGGCCCTTAAAACTAAACAATAATGAAAACCTTTACGTTAGTCTCATGAGCATAATAAAATAAATAATATTCAAAGAAAATAAAACACATCATATTCCTATGAAAACTAAGCATAATTCGCTATTCACTCATGCCCATCATGAAAATGCTTTATCACCTGAAAAACTTCTCTCTACTTGTCCCCACTACTCGCCATTATAAATGGGTCGTCGTAGGGCCAAGGTAAAGACATGGCCAAACAAACATACAACACACAATCAGCAATGCTGAATACATAAGCGTAATAAAACACACTATCATGATTTCATGCTATCATCACACAACTTACCTTATTGCACCTGTAAACAAGCATACAAGACAGTAAACACTTAACTAGACAAATACCAATCTCCATTTAATTTGATTACGCATCGAACGGGTTTCCCCCTAACCTGCCCCAATAAAGGGGTATTAACACGGGAGCTAACCGTGCCAATATAAAAGAAACCACTCGTAAGTGGCTGAATTCCTCACATGATAAAAAGGAATATACAACGTCCTGTACTCCCAGTAGAAGTTATGGTCAAATATAAAGTCGCATAACTCCCCCCATATGTTCATACTCAAGGTATATACGTTCCAAGAGTTTTGGTGTGTAATCTCTTTCACTTTATGTTGTTTTACATACTATTACACTTGGTGATGACTCTCAAACCATAACACAATCCAACATTATAATCATTCAAGCAATCAAACATATCAATTTAATTCTTGAATAATTAGTCACCACATACATTTAATGTTAAATCCTTTTTCAACTATCACTACAAGAAAACAGCTTGATTCCGACGGAAAAAATCCGTCGGAATCATCGGAAATTCCGTCGGAAAATGGTCTTCCGACGGAATTCCGTCGAAATTAATTTGTCGCAAAACACTTGTAGGAAATTCGACCTTTTCCGACAGAATTTATGAGGGAAGGCTAGTTTTCGACGGAATTTTTAACGGATTTTTTTATATTGGCGCTGTTTTTAACTTTAATCGAGAGTTCGTCGCAATTTTCCGACGGAAGAGATTCCGTCGGAATATACCTCTTCCGATGGAATTTTCCGTCGGAATCTACCACCTTCCGACGGAAATTTCCGTCAGAAAAGTTAATAAAAAATAATTTTTTAAAAAAAAAACAGCCCCACCCACCACCAGCCCACCCCCTGCCCCTTACCTACCCATACCCTTACCAGCCCACCCCCTTACCCTCAACCTCAGACCACCACCGCCATTATCCCCACATCAGACCATCGAAACCCCCATAACCCAGATCCACCCACAAAACCCCCACAACCCAGATCCTCACCCACGAAACCCCCCTAACCCACCCCTACCAAAACCCCACCCACACCAAACCGAAACCACCTAGCACCAAACTCACACCAGGCCCCCACCCCACCACCACCGACTCCACCACACACCACCACCATTCCAGAAATTCCGTCAAAACCGGAAAAAAACCCAAAAATAAAAAAGGAAAATCAACCCTAAAAAACCGAAAATTAACCCCAAAAATACGAAAATTAACACAAAATAATCAAAAAATACCACATAAAAAAAATCAAAACCAGTAGATCTACATATTAATCAGAATTTCATTAATTTTTTTTTTAAAAAAAAACGATAATTAACCAAAGAAAATTAAAAGAAATATATAAATATACAATTGTCTAATAAATATTATAAACTAACATTACAATTCCATACAAAATTAACTAGATCTACACTAAACCTTAATTACAAGATCTAAAAAACAAAAACCTTGAGACTAGTGGCTCGCGACGGAAAAAATCGGTGGACGACGATGCTTGACGCGGCGGCTTCCCGGTGAATACGGAGTAGGTGACGCTTGGCTGGTTGTTGCGACTGTGCGTGGTTGTTGATGTTGTTGTTGAGAGGAGAGAGAAAGAGAAAAGGGAAAAAGGAGGAGTAGTATGGGCTGCGTAGTGGTGGTGTGAGAAGGAGAAGGAGAAGAGAGGAAAAGTGAGAAGGAGAAGAGAAATGACGGAGGAGAGAGAAGGGAGGAGAGGAGTTCATAGAGAAAGAGAAGAGGAAAGGGGATAGGAGAGAGAAAGAGAAGAGAGGCAGAGAGAGAAGAGGAGAGGAGAGAGAAAAGAGAAATGAAGGGGGATGGATTTGAGGCCGTTTTTTTTTATATATAATTAATTTCCGACGGAATATTCCGTCGAAAATTTCCGATGGATTTTAATTCCGTCGGAATATATGGAATTTCCGACGGAATATTCTGTCGGACATTTCCGACATATTTTAGTTTCGTCGGAATATATGGAATTTCCGACGGAATATTCTGTCGGACATTTCCGACATATTTTAGTTTCGTCGGAAATGTTATTTTCCGACGGAATACTTCATCGTAAATTCCATATATTTCGACGGATTTTTATTCCGTCGGAAATTTTCGACGGACTGTTAAAATTCGTCAGAAATTTTCGTCGAAATAAAAATCCGTCGGAAGTATTGAATTTTCCGACGGAAATACGTGTCCGTCGGAAATCGGCCTATTTCTAGTAGTGTATCTTGTTGTTAAATAACACCTTAAAC